CATCATCGCTTAATCGTTGCTTCTCTTCTGACGCCTTTTTGTACCTTTGAACTTTTCGAGCGTCTTAAGGCGCTGCACTTTTAGGGCATGGTGCCGCTTTACAGCTTTATTCCGTTGTAGTTTGTTATATATAGCGTACCTAAGCAACACTTTGACAAGTTCACACCTACTAATATCGTTTGATTGGTTTAAAGTGATTTGCGGGCTAGATAAAGGATATTTTTAGAATGACCTTTAGGTTTAGGTGCCGAACCTAAGCTGTAACTGTGATGTAGAAGCTCGATTGAACAACTGTGAATGTCAGACAGGATACTCTTATGTCAGAATTATTTTACGAACAAATTTTTGTTGTTGCCACTATTGGCAGATGACAGAGTCATATAGAGACGTTCCTTCTATTATGCTATGTCTGTGTGTAAAAAGCAGTATTTTTACCGACAAGCAAACATTCAACAGCCTGTACGTATGACAGGAGCGTTCAGGAGATTCTCAAGGATATCTCCATCCAATATGAAGCAATGCTGTATATAATCCGCAATAACCGTTATTACCATTACAACGATAGCAGCTGCCTTTAACACCAACAACCATAGTACATTATAAGAGTACTATTATTATGTGACAAGCGTGAAATAAAACGATGAAAAAATTTCTTCTTATTAGTATTATATTAACGCATATATATATATATATATACATCCATACTATATATATATATATATATATATATATAGTAAGCATGATAGATGCAAAGCTAAACGGCACGTTATGTAGCGCTATCGTAGCGGCATTACACCGTTGGACAACTTTAACCAATTTCTACTACGCCATTGACGATAACGACATAATGTACAATATACATTAGACGCTGGTTAATTTCTAAAGATTTAAAATGAAACACACCACTGTATCTTGGTAGCTGGTCTTCAGGTTTGTTCCTAAGTGGCTTAGGGGCCAATCATCGCATGGGAAATAAATTTAGGCAACTCTCACTCTAGACATTCGCGCCGCGACTTATTTCAAAAACTTTGTCGAGCACAATGAGGAGCATATTTAATATGTTATCTGTTTATTCTAGTTCAACCGTTCGTCACTGTCGTAAAAGCAGTAATGAGTCAGCAAAAGGAGACCGCCATAAGCGCATCAACTCCAAAGCGATAATATTGTGAACAGGTGAACTTGTCATGGTCAAAATGAGACATTTCGTCCAAATCAAGTTTCAGTCATAACGAGCGTGCCTTCAACGCGTAAGACGTCTTTACTCCGGCATAGACCACCCATCACGTACTCTGAAGAGTCACGGTAGGTGACTGAATGGATCCGCGTATTGACTGAACGAGAAAGCCATAATCGATATGATGAAACCGCCAGGATAGCTATAGACTAAAAGAAAATGCCAGTTGTAATAGATAGATAAACTATTTTGCATTTGGAAATGTTAAGTGTCTTTTTTCAACGTGTCGCATTGGGCCTCTATGGGAAGCACCAAATGATGCTTTCAGCTTCATACAATTGGCAACGATGATAAATGGTGCTGGTAAGAGTCGCGGTCGATTGAACTGCGAGCTTTCGCAAGTACTTCCCGATGACCATCTCATTACTATGCCGAAATCTGATTGTGTCTGCGAATGTTCTTCATGCATCATATAAAGCACGTAATCTGTATCTATGAAGCTAGTAAGAGCTACTTCGAGCTTCAGAATACGATGTGTTGCAAGCAACTGAAAACGAAAAATTTGCCCTTTATTGCGCTTTTGGGACTAATTTAAGCTTATCCGTAATGTTTCGTTTTAACATTTGGCATATAACGTATATTAATCAGGCGCTATGCAGAGACCACTAACTTCGAAAAGTTATTTACTCGCTGCGGACATTCATTAGTTGGGCGAAAATGGCGTCATAGTCTGGCAGTTAATTAATAAGTTTCTTTCAGTCCACTGCCATGAACAATAATAAGAAGCAGCACGCTGACCAGCTCCGGTTCAAATCCTTGCATCGGGGATGAGAAAAAAATTATGAAACAGGAAACTTGCGAAAAGCCACAGAATCTGCCAAGACGGTTACATTGACATTTAATTGGTCCGTTAAGAGAGTCAGAGATGACTCCCCCAATGGTAATGAGTCCTCCTGGCCACTAAAGATATGGTTTTGAAGACTGACATAAAAAACGTTAGCTAATAGCCAGTTATACGATCGTTACCGGAAACATTTAATGAGTAGACAATTTGTAAAAATAGAAAAACAATGCCCTTGATAGCAAGTGAACAACTATTTAATAAGGCAGCATGCATACAAACACACCACTACTGCAATAACAGCTCGAACTTTTCTGAATAGTTTCATCCTCTCGCCGTTAATTTACAGCCCAAAAAAAAATAGAGACAATCCCATGTAAGTTTTCGCTCTTCAGCGAACCACTTTCGATTTATGTAATTCCCAGCCATCTACCCTAGCGAACGAACCACCGGGCCGGGGTGAATAAACGACGCTCCGCTCACCGTTATTTCGTTATTTTTCGTGTAAAAATTACATTTTTCGTAATCACTAAAAAAAAAGACTTTTTTATAAACTTTTGCACATATCAAATATGAGTTGTCTGTTTGATGGTCTTAATGCACACATACGCATGCTTCCATTGTGACACATACTCTTTGATTCTGGTCAATTCGTTCCTCGTATCTAACGGCCTGTTATTGCGTAGGACATTCATCGCTAATCTGTTGTGTGATTTCATTCATACAACAGAAAAGTCTTGGAAAAATTAAAACTACGCATTATAGTTCTGAACGATGCGGGTCAAACATGGGAAAAACCATTGATGTGGCCGGCTCAATGCTTGTTAGTGCGCTTTTTTCTTCTGCCAATATATGTTTCTATAACGTCTTACCTATACAGGAAAAGTTAAAAGAATAGAAATATAATTATTCTATAATGAAGATCTAGTGTAACCGAAAGGTAGAGCTATCATCGGAGGACATCTACAAGAACCGTCGACTGACAGTTTCTTGGCACTGCTTAGTTGTCCGCTCTACCTTTATATGTTATCTCAGATTCGTTTTATAAATGTGCTGAGAAATAGTGCTATGGTTTCATCCGTACTTGATAAAATATTAACTTTCGATGTATTTTTGCTAGGTAAACTTAATTGACGTTCCACCATTTGTCTTCGCTATACAATAACACAAAATTAGAAGCCGCTGCCAAAATTTATTCACAACTTAAGTTTAAGCGAGTCTGACAGAAGAATACATTGCTTTCACTGTTGTTCCCACAATGAATTCGACTGCACACCCACAAAATACAGTCAAAGGCTTTTCAGGCTTATATAACTAACTACTCCTGTATATGCACAATACGAGGGTGATTGTTTCTTTTGTTATTTAGTTTTAGAAGTTAGAAGTAAAGTGGATAATTTTGCGTAAATAGAACGTACATTGAAATATCATACAAAGTGACGTGCTCCGTCTGGTGGCAATTAAGCATTGAAACTTGAAAGTCGATAACGCACCGAAAGACATACCTGTATGTATATATCGAAATAACGCTAGCTTATGGTTTCGAGAAAATTCGGCAAATTTCTGTACATTTACAATGTCTGCCAACACAATAGTTGATGTACAACAAAAGTGGGAACAAAAACGAGACGATAGTAACGTGAATTCTATGTGAATAGGGAAGCTCAATTCACGGTACATTTGTAACGTTAAATTTGAATAGACATAGCGAGATATGGGCTAAAAATGGTCTTTGCTGGTCTATTTAGTAGTACACTGCATGTTATAGATTATATGTCGGAATGGTACGAGCGTTCATGGTTATCTAAACATGCCGTCGCCAAAGTAGCAAGAGATCGCAGGAAGTGAACTGTCAACTGAAATCTAAGTGGCACCCGAGTGACACCAACACCACCCTGTCAGATTCAACAACACATAAAGTAGAAATAGAACTTAACTTTAACAAATCGCCCACTCTCGTTGATGGCCCTGACATTGCGGACGATTGTATCAAACGTCTTCAAAAAGTCCAATCTCTGTATCTGGCTTTTTTATAGTTACATAATGCCCTCGACATCGTCCCATCCTTTACCGGATAACACACTGCTCACCGCGTTTCGCGCTAGTAACAGCGGTTAGCATATTAAAAATACACTAAACCCCTCTGCGACTGTTCCATTTTTCGGGTTCCGTAAGAAAGGAGCGATCTTAAGTGCCTCTTCCTTGAATATCAGCTTCGATAGACAAACGTAGTTGATTTGGTTAAAACCAAATCATATAGCCCTACGCCGACGCTCATATACCGTGCGTTAACAACTGCGCTTTGAAAAGTCAATACTACAATCTAACGCCAGCGCCAATAACACTAGTGTACTATATTAACTTAAGGTAATAGGACAAATCTTATGGAACAGCAAATATCTTCACTCAACTATATATAGAAAGGTCTATTATTTATTTATACATTAATCCGTAGCAGATACGGTAAAGGTAGACGGGCAACTTTTTAGACTGACTAACAAAATTTTACCATTAACCATCAGTAGGACCACTTTGATTATCTCATAGCGTGTGCTCATCACAGATGCGAACGTACGCATAGATCTTAACTATTGCGATTCTAGTTTTACTCACATATAATTTTAATATAATAGCGCGACAGTTTTGCTAGGGCCGATATTTAGCTGTTAGGTGCATAAACGAATGAGACTGTGATATTATCTCACTATGGGGAAAAGAGCACGTAAGTAAGGGAGAATTAAGTGTATAGAACATGGACAACATGCGAGCACTTACGCTTAGCTTTGATTGTATCTGTCTACGTTATGGAGACATAAAAATGATAGGCGTTTTTTGTCCAAAGGTCGTTACAGGAAATAGCAATAGACTTCTTCGGTAGATAAGTTTTTCTAGGCTTTCTTTGCCCCAAAATGTTTCTGTTCGGTACGCCTGTATGTGAGCAGGTATGTATGCATGTATGTAGAACGTGCTGCTAATCGTACTCACTAAAATAGTTGAGCGTTTCCTCAATGAGTTCGGGCGAGAGGTCGAGCGGCTCGTCGGATGGGAGAAGGGGAGCGTTGATAATGCCCCAGTCCTCGTTCTCGTATCCTGGAACACCAGTAATTAAACAAAGGATGTTAGTCGATATCAATTAACTTTTCGATTGTCACAAATACTATATAATAAAACGGATACTATACTATATAATATATTAAATTGATACGCTAATAATGTTTCTCGAATTGTTTCACTTTGAAATGGAATAACTTTTGCACTAGTTGGGCTAAAACGATAATTTTCTAGTCTGCATTAGAAGTGCTGCCCTTCATTATTTGTCCCTAATATTATCATACTACTTGTCCTAGCGTTCTAACAGCTTCCGAACAACAATACGCGCATCATTCGCTTTCCCATATGTAATTTCTCTAGCTACCGCTTCTCAAAGTAAATCGATAGTAGAATATGATGTGTTGCCTTTTTTTGACTTTGTAACCAGACGGACTTAGATCGGAAGAACAAGCAGAACGAAGCGAATGGCGAATACTCCTTTACCGAACCCAGAAAGTAACTGAGGTATGCCGTTCTCATCAAATAACTGGGCTGCGTGTTTTTGATTGCCGTGCCAATGGTCTATAAGTCTCTTGAGACATTCATTGCTTCATTTTCAGCGACTATCTCGAGTAGCAGATAGCCTTGGTGCCCATTTCAAATGCTACCGTCACCTTACAATCTACCCTATTCGACCTCATTTCCTGTCACAGGCAACGCCACAGTCTTTTTCCAGACGCTGGTAAAGGCTCAACCATGTATCGCCTATAGGGAGCGCATGTTCCAGGTGGGTTTTTTGTTGACTGAAGTTCCCCGAATAGCAGATGGAATAGACCACACGCATTTCCAATTCGCCCCAAGTCAATTCATAAAGAACCCATTTTTGTTCGGTTTCTGCATTTGTAGTTTTCAAATTACAATTCTGTGACACATTACATGTAAACTGCTGGTTTCAACCGAGAAAGCACTTAGACTTTTTAGGTTTGTTTCCGTAAAAATACTCTTTGGTTGCAGCAATGTGTTCTTATCCTTTGGCTGTCGACGTTTGATATCCACCTCGCTGGTCTTCAACGCTTCAGTCTTCGTCTTTGAAATTTTTATACCAGTCACATGCTGCGCTTTTACTTAGGACCTTCTTGTCTGGTATCTTTACCAACTTCGATATGTTTCCGCAATGCACTGGCGGCCTCTGGGGTGCGAAAACTTTTTTATTTCAAGTTCCCTTCTCTTCGTTCATTTGCAAGCTTCTTTTTTAAGCAATTAAAAAAGTAGCTCAGCTTCGAAGTACACTGGATTCGCTTGTGATAATCTTAAAGCGATTTTTTGGATCAGCATTCACAGGCATTATTCAGACCGAACACCGGCTCCCATGATTAATCCAGAACACTGAATCATAATAGAGTTTATATTATATAGAGCAAACGCCTTTTGTAGACTACTGCCTCCTATATCGATTTCTATTGCACACGGCACTATGAGCGAAAGGGATTTTGACATCATGTAACTGTTACAGAACATTATGATTGATCACGTGACGAAGTAACCAACAGCTCCCTCTCTTGCGTTATATTCAATCAGTATTTTTTTGGTTTAATATAATGAAAATTAGACAAATTTCATATAAAATCAATGAACATACATAATAAAAGATCATTTGTGGGTGGTATCCAAATTTCGTATATATCATTATTAATTGTAATTAAACTTACGATGCCGTTACACAACGATTGGTTACTTACTAGTTAATTGTCCGCAAAGAAAGTTATTTCAGCGTCGTGCACGTCTATAATCTACCGGTTAAACCATGAGCACTGTCTATACAAGCGGTGGAAGGTCTCATTTTGCGTTGATCTACGACTTGTATTACACGATCTTCTATTCAAATTCGTAACTAATTTCAATGAAATTTTTAAGTTGACAGTTGCTATACTTTGACCAATGTTTATAGCTACAATCGCTTCTTTCAAACCAGCCTCCGGCTATTGCTACTATGAGTTGGGACCCAGCAGGAAAGAAACAAGGCGAGTATTAGGAGCAGCCATTACGATGACGAATAACTCTGATAGATAACCTTTCGTTGAGATTGAACCACAAACCGATTTCTTTCGCCTATATAGATCTATATTTTGTAAGGGGTACCGTTCTGCATGGCCCGTTGGAGCCGTATGAGTTACCGAACGTGTGTACGTAACCTATGTAACATCAAAACTATAGTATTATATTTGGTCCGCATTTAAACATGTTGATAAATTAAGGGGTTAGGCTAGACGTGGGGCGAAAAATTTCACACGAAAATATCTTTTTTTTTTTTTCTCTTTCTTATTTTAAAGCCATAGATGCACTACGTATATCCCATATCATGGGTGCTCTTGAGTTAAGATCGACACTGCGAACGAAGGCCTGAGCGGCACTTGGTCACAACCTTGTGGAGTTAAACGTAACTGTAAAGCAAATAGCAACACTATTGCATACATTCGTTCTAACCCTGCTTGTTTAACTATATTTCTAATGTACATAATTTATTACTGAGTTACACGATAATAAAGGCTCCCGTTAAGACGTACTCAATCCGTGCGGCAGCATGGTTGTAACACTGTGATAATCTCTTCAGTCATTAAATCAAACTATTCTACAAAGCCATTTCTCATTTGCAAACCTTTTGTTATAGGAAACGACAAATCATTAGTTTATCACGTCGCGATATGCTGATCTTTTACAATGTCGTCAATTTTAGGTCATGAAAAGGCCTTTAATTAAACCGTTTCTCAACGGCTAAATGTGGTCGACTGACGCCAAAAATGTCCCCCGGTTAAAATGGCGTCGCTAGGGCTAATGGTAACAAAATAGCCGAAGGAGTCGACAACAATTATAATACATGCATAAAAGTCAGCTATAAAACGGTCTTTTTAAAGCTTCAGGCTTTTAGGGTTCGTTTCGTTCTAGTAAATTGAATACCCGTAATTGTTGTATCTGGATCAGTACCTAATTTCATTCAAGTAAAACCAAAGAAAGCTGGCTGAAGGGTGACCTTGTACCGATGTAAACTCGTCGTCGTAATGACAACAACCACTAACTACGTATATACTTTGTTACAAATAGATTTTTCTTGCTATCTCATTATAACAAGTTCTAAAGCTTAACTGTGTTAACTGCACTCCCGATTAATATTTCTTAACATAGCGTTGATTACCGAGGTGCCCAAATTGTTGAGAGCCATCATTCAATGCGTACTGATTAGGTTTCGCGTGCTGTTCAATTAAGTGATCTCCACATAATCAAATTATAGGGTCGAATAGATGGCCGTAGCATTTAATCGATAAACAATTTTTCAGTCTACGGAACAGTGCTGCTATCTCTGTCGCACAGATATGCCAAAGCGTCATGAACATCATGACAGCATCAGTCCAGTAATAGTCCTATAATAGGATGGAGTTCCTGACCTGTAATTAATCATATCACTAGTTCAACAGAGCTGTCAAAAAAAAGTTCTTTTTGTAATGCCTCATAAATGAACTTGCCTATATGAGCAGCTGTATATGGTTCTCATTATATATATATATATATATATATATATATATATATATATATATATATATATATATATGGTCAATTGTTACGTGTCATAGAAGATTCGAGTTTCAAGCGATATGGACTCATAGGCAGTTTTAAGAAACATGTTTAATTTGTACCTGTAATGGGTAGTTGATAAAAATTGTTGGCTTTAAGCAAGCACTTCAGTAATAGTCCTGCTGTTGTCGCGAATATTTCCACGTGTTTGCGGCCCCATAGTGCGATTCTCGGTCCGGCTGTATATTTCTTTGCTCACCAACGTCCGCCGCTGTACGTGTGCAGTTTCAACAAAGAACAATTGTTGTACAACACAGCGTTTGCCCAACTGTCTGCATCTACTCTATCCCAATTAGGGCGACGAGCAATGACGATAGGACCGACCTGACAGGACACACGGTCTGGCAATGTAGTTCCGACGGCAGAATACGAGCTCACTGCTACGTTGGATACATTGCAACCTGTGTTCAGCAGGCTAACGATTTAAAAGCGCTGCATAAAAATGATCCATTTTGACGGGAAAGCGCGTACATTTCCACCCAAACGCTGTGTCAATATTATACTAAACAGAAAAAACACTGACTGATGCACTAACTTCGAGTGAGAACCAGTTATCTGAACAAACCGTTTTAGCCTTCGGATTTTCCATAACATTCTTTGATATTCGGATGTCCCTAGAGTCATTGCCTCACACGAGATTGCTCTACAGAGTCAGCACATGTTGATTTTGAACATAAAGTTTTACATGTATGCCACGTATCATAATTGACATATGCGCCGCCACATATATAGAAAACATCATTTTCCACTATCGCGACTGCTCAACAACGCCAACATTTAAGCGCAGAACACCATACCCCTCCATATAAACCCTTCTTTCTGCTAAATTCACGCTAGGCGTTGAATTCACGCTAGGTTAGAGCACTGTATCTCGAATATACTTAGGAAGCAAACGACGTATCCAATGCAAAATGGATCTAATTTGATATTCTTAACGGTACTGAACCGGAACCGCACTAAAAACAAGCTATTTTTATAGTGGATCCTTGACAATTATGAACCTATCGCCGAAAGCAATTCTCCCTACTTCGTTTTATTGTTAGTAATTATTTCTTGCTAAGAAAACAGAGACTATTGCTTGCAACAAACTATTACCAATCTTTTTCAAATTTTACGATAACTTTGCCATCACAGCCGAAGGCAATGAAGCATCTTCGCTAGAGGCGGTACGACATTAGCTGGTTGAACGTCTACAAAGGCGGGAGTTGCTCAGTTCAAGGTGTGAGAACGCAGACAGTTCGTCCGACCGTAATAGAACTTTTATTAGGGGACGGCTAACTGTTTGTCAGATAGGGCTCGTCATTTCGTCGCAGCGTACACGTTATTCAAGCTTTCACCCCTTCTATATGTATATCATCTGTAGAGAAGAAAAAAAAACAGCCTTGTTACCGCCACTCTTTGACGTGCGCATCCAAGCTTCCTAGCTTGTTACA